CACCCTAAAAAAATTAAGTAATAAATGTTTCTGAAAAACACTTGAGTTAAAAAGATTTGTGTTTATTGCTGTTGACACAATCATTAAACACCACCAAAGCTAGAGTAGACATAGATCATTGAAATTAATTGATGATTAAACTCTTACATCCACTACCTGCATGACCGTGTCATCTCTATGTCAGTGAAAACATCAGTGAGCAAAGGACAGGGGAGTCTGCAAATATATGTTGCAGTCTGACGATATCTGTAAAATAATAAAGCAGTCCAGGGATTTCAAAAGGGTCAGTCTTTTTTTTAAATAGTCTACTGGTGTTTTCGATGAGCTTTGTTTTGGCAAAATAGAATAGAAATGCTTATTGGTATAACAAACATGTCAAAACTTGGTGTTCAGCGTTATGAATATAAAACAATGATTTTGTTCGAAATGATTGGTCGCCAGTGTGTTGTTGCCTAACTAAGCCATGGGGATTCAGTTTGTCCACAACAACCCTTGCAAAAAAGATAAGTCAGCTTCAAGTGTGGTAGGTACTTTGTAGCTAAGCAGTAATTAGTGGCCTACACTAAGGAGCAGTTATCAAAAATTGGTGAGTGTTTTGTGATTGTTATCTAAAGATTGATGCAAAACAGTATTTTCTATGTTTGACAAGAATGCCTGGTTGAGCTGGACATATTTGACTTGTAAGGGTGACCATCCTGTTGAGCACGTTGCCCTCACTGGTTTAGCCTGCTGAGACAGCTGGCACTTGTACTTCTGTGGTTTCTTTTGAGGTTACTTTGGAAATGTAATAGGTGACTGATTACAGTTTACCCTACCCTTTTTCAAAAGACAGCAGGGAAAGTGGTGGCCTTCATATTTGTCTTCAGCTTCATCATTGTGTTGAGGCCTGTCAGTGCAGCAGGAGGTGCCCTGAGTTTTGCTGAATATGTCGTGACCCGCTTTTCACAACAGCTGCACCGCTCCACAGCTGGTTGCAGGAGCTATCATCAAAACAGTATCACAAATGAGAGTGTCCTCCAGCCCACTTGATGTAATACCTACAAAGTTTTTACTGAAAGTAATGGATTCTGTTGGGCCCCATTTGATCTCTGTTTTTAACAGCTCCCTATCTACTGTTTGTGTCCCTAATTATTTTAAAACGGCTTGCGTGAACCTTTCTTTCTAGAAAGAATTGTGTCCAAACAGCTGCTCACTGTACTGGAAAATAACAAAAAATTTGAAAAGTTTCAATCTGGTTTCAGGAAGTACCACAGCACTGAGACTGCCCTGCTTAAAGTCACCACTGACCTTTTAATGTCTGCTGATGTAGGCATGTGCTCAGTCCTGGTACTCCTGGACCTTAGCGCTGCTTTTGACACCATTGATCACAACATCATGTTAGACAGACTGAGGCACTGGGTGGGGATCTCTGGTACTGCTCTAGAATGGTTTTCATCCTACCTGTCAAATAGGAAGTTTTGCGTGTCTGTAAACAACTATGTCTCTTCGTTCTGTCCACTTAAATATGGTGTGCCTCAGGGGTCGGTCTTAGGACCCATTTTGTTTTCCTTGTATCTGCTTCCCCTTGGACATATTATCCATAAACATGGCATTTCTTTTCATATTTATGCTGATGACACACAAATGTACTTGCCTGTCAGATCCACAGACCCTGGAATGCTGAGTTCACTTAACAACTGCCTTTGTGAAGTTAAAAAATGGATGTCAAATAATTTCCTCCAACTGTACTCAGACAAAACAGAAATCCTGGTCATTGGGATTTGCAGATGGCAATACAAATACTGCCATCTGCTGGTTCCCTAGTGAATCACATTAAGCCTGTGGCAAAGAACCTTGGTGTTTGGTTTGATAGTAATTTAAATTTCGAGCAGCACACCACAAAGCTTGTTCAATCATGTTTTTATCAACTTAGAAACATATCAAAAATTCGATCTATGTTAACTTTTAAGGACACCGAGACCATTTTACACGCCTTCATCTCATCATGCCTGGATTATTGCAACAGCCTTTTCACCTGTTTAACCCAAAAATCTATTGATCGACTCCAGACTGTCCAGAACTCAGCTGCCAGGCTTTTAACCAGAACAAAGAAATATGACCACATTACTCCTATTTTAGCTTCATTACAATGGCTCCCGGTATGTTTTAGAATTGACTTTAAAATTCTATTGATCACTTTTAAAGCTCTTCATGGCCTCTCGCCTTGTTATATTTCTGACCTTTTAGTCCCATACACACCAGCACGTACCTTGAGATCCTCGGGCAGAGGTCTGCTATCTGTTCCAGAGTCTCGACTGAAAACTAAAAGGGACAAAGCGTTTGCTGTCAGGGCCCCGAGGCTCTGGAACAGCCTGCCCGAGGAAATCAGGTCGACTGAGTCAGAGAACTCTTTTAAGTCCCTTCTTAAAACATACTTTTATAGGAAAGCCTTTCCCGATCTTATTTGACTTTATTTTATCCCTTTTATTTTATTGTATTTTACTAATTTTATATTTATCTTAAACGTGTATTTTAGTCTTTTCATGTTTTCAATGTTTTTATCTTGTATTGTTTTTGTATTATTGTCTCTTGGGTATTATTGTCTTTACACTTGTTAAAGCACTTTGTAACTTGTTTTTGAAAAGTGCTCTACAAATAAAGATTATTATTATTATTATCATTATGTTGACCGCAGTTAACTGTCTGAACGTCCGCTAGGCCACTGCCATCCAGGTGGTTTCCATGGTAGTCAAGAAGCTGGCACTGGCAGTGATCATATTGGGAGATGTTGAAGAGGGAAATTTAACCGTATAAGGCGTGTGTTGATATACTCAGAGCTCCTGCTGAGCACCGCTGTGTTTTACCCAAGAATGAGAGGTCACTTCTCTTTAATTGTGTCTTGTGAATAGGATGGCTCTCTGTGAGTTTCTGGGTGAAATCCTGGAGAGGGCGCCATTAAGATACTTCATAGTTCTGCTGGGGAATTAATTAATACAAACTGCCTGCTTTATCTCAGCCCGAGTTGTGCTTTGTGTTTAAAATTCAGTTTTAGTCGCGGTTTGGTAATAACAACCACCATGTTCAAGTATAAGTTAGTTCATGTACCTCTACCAGAACATCTTAGACCAAAGATTGAGTTTGTATTCGTATCAGATCATCTGCAGCAGAAGCCTATTCTTTGGATACTCAGGTGAACCTAGGAGCACAGAACTTATGTTTTGCTGTGAAAGGTGAAATGTGTAATTTTCCATTGAGAGCATGAAGAAAGTCGGAATCAGACAGCCATGCCACACCTTAGTTTATAGCTTAAACCTTGAAGAGTGATTTCACCTCCTATTTTACACATAGCTATAACATTACTCAACAGTTAGCAGTTAAGTTACAGCGTGTTCTGTGAATTTCTTTGAGGAAGCAACGGCTCTCAAACAATGGAGAGTGACAAAGAGAGACTCAATCTGAAGAGGGAAGTGGGGATTATAGGAGCCGTGTCATTCATTGCTGGCACCATGATGGGATCCGGGATCTTCATATCACCCCAGTATGTGTTATCGACTATTGGAAGCCCCGGGGCCAGCCTTATTATATGGGCTTGTTGTGGGTTGATAGCCATGCTGGGGGGACTCTGCTATGCTGAACTGGGCACAGTCATTCCAGAGTCTGGAGGAGAGTATGTCTACATTCTTCGCACAGCAGGGAAAGTGGTGGCCTTCATGTTTGTCTTCAGCTTCATTATTGTCATGAGGCCTGCTAGTGCTACGGGAATTGCTCTGAGCTTTGCTGAATATGCCGTGGCCCCCTTTTACAACAGCTGCACTCCTCCACAACTGGTGGTGAAGACCGTGGCTGCAGCAGCTATCGTGGTGCTGGCCATAGTTAACTGTCTGAGCGTCCGCTTGGCCACTTCCATCCAGGTGGTTTCCATGGTAGTCAAATTACTGGCACTGGCAGTGATCATACTGGGAGGTGTTGTGATGCTTATCCAGGGACATAATGAGGACTCTGATTACTCTTTTGAGGGAACGCATGCTGGTGTCAGCTCCATCGGCATTGCTTTCTATCAGGGCTTGTGGTCCTATGATGGCTGGAACACTTTGAATTATCTAACTGAAGAGCTGAAACATCCAGAAGTAAGAGTTTCACTGTTTACTATTCATAAATTGTAACTAAATAAATAAATAAAAATAAAATGATGATGATATACTTATTCAATCAACTATGCAATCTACTCAGACTTTACAAGATTAAACGTTAAGATTCAGATGCCTTTATTATCATTGCACAGAGTACAATGAAATTGAGTGCAATCCTGTTGGTGCATTCCCACAAATGTTTATATACACATGGTACAGTTGAAATGTATAGAGTGAAATTTGAGTTTTCTAACTCCCTTCAGCTACATAGCAGACAATATACACTAATAAAGAATCAATTATGAAAATTGGTAAACAGAAACAAACTATCATCACTGGAGCAGTGCTGAGAATGAATTAGAGTTTAAGAGTCTGATGAATGTCCAAGAGGACATTCTCCAGAAGTCTCCAAGAGGCTTGGGGGGAAAAGCTGCTCTGCAGTCTGTTGTTGTGACAGCTGAAACATCTGTATCTCTTCCCAGAATATCTGTGCAGTGTTCGATGAATGTTACTGTAGGTATTAAAGTGTTGATAGTCACACAGTACCCAAACAGTATCGGTGTTTGGCACTGTTCATAAATCTTTTTGTCATTCATTGTTTATTGATTTTGTCAGAAAATCAATCACTTATTGACCAAAACATGAAATTCACATTGCCCAGAAACACCTACACATACACCTGTCATTAAGCTCATACACCTATAATGTTTATAATCATCAACCTGTTATCTCAGTGTTGACAAGTTACACAAATAAACAAGGCTTGACAATAAATTACACAATGAGTGGTAGTGTTGAGGTTATTGCATGAATTTAACCTTGGCAGGTTAAGATAAGAGTATAATACAGAGATAGATCTCCTGTATAATCATTTACAACCACAGTGGAGTTAGTAGGCTATTACATTCAAGTAACTTATGTTGGACAGTTTTACTGTCTACTCCGCAAAGTGAACAACTGCAGCATCTTCATCCTACACTCTCTGATCTGTGACCATGGCAGACAAAGAACCTGAAGCCCTGAAAATGAAGCGGGAAATTGGGTTGATTGGCGGTGTAGCACTAGTTTCCGGAACTATGATCGGATCCGGTATATTCATGTCCCCACAGTTTGTACTGGCCTACGCTGGAAGCCCTGGAGCAAGTCTGGTGATCTGGGCTCTCTCAGGAGTTGTATCTATGTTTGCAGCGTTGTCCTATACCGAGCTTGGGACAGTCATTTGTGAATCTGGTGGAGATTTCATCTACATACTGAGGATCTATGGTTCATGTCCTGCTTTCTTTGCAGCAGTCACCTTTATCCTGGTTGTCAAGCCATTTGGCATAGCAGCAATGGCAATTAGCATCGCAGAGTATGTTATAGCACCCTTTTACACTGACTGCCATCCTCCTCAACTGGTAGTGAAGTGTGCTGCAGCTGTGGCTATACTGGTTGTTGCCACAGTTAATATCTTAAATGTCCGGATTGCCATTAGAATCCAAGTGGTCTTCTTGGTGGCCAAGGTGCTGACGTTGACATTAATCATAATTGGGGGGATAGTGGAGCTCACACATAGCACCAGTGTCATTGTGGAAAATCTAAAAGTCGAGAATGCATTTAAAGGCACTCAGTACTCTTTGAGCACTCTAGGAATGTCTTTTTATCAAGGACTCTGGTCTTACGCTGGCTGGTACAACTTGAACTATGTCACTGAGGAGCTGAAAAGACCAGAGGTGAGACTGTAAGATGCTGTGTGCTTAGCTGAGTAATTAATAGTATTGTAGTTTTATTTTAACTACAGCAGTCCCTCAAGTCACCGGAGAGATGATGCTCTGTTAAAGATTATGCAGGACAAATGTCTTGATGTTAAACTGGGTGGTGGCGTGGCTATATTGTAAAACCTATGCTAAATAGTGTTATTTTACAACACCTCTTTTTCATAGGCTTTGAATGCTTATACCAAAACCCATTCACCAATCTTGTGACCGTGTATAGACCAGTGATCAAACTGCCAGAGGTGTCCGAGCTAAGTTAAAAGGAAGGTCAAGGTGTGATTGTAAGAAAGTAAAATGTTTATTACTGCGATTGTAGTCTTATCTAACTGCGACAAAGGTGTGTGCCAGCCAAGGTCATCATGTGCATGTGTGCAGGGGATATAAAATATAAAAAAATAGCAACAAGCTGCAGTTGAATGGATTTTGCTTATGGATCAACATGCCGTGGTGTGCCATCTGATTTGTGGTTAGATGTGATGACAATGTGAACCTTCATTTTTGAGTTATTGACAATGGTTAAACACTTACTGTTCATGGCAGTTCAAAGAGATTGACCAGCTTCACCTGAATGCTTAAAACATTTTTTACCAAAATGTTTTAAATCACTTTTCAAATCACAATCTTAACCTTTTGTAATATTGACATAATTGTTCTTTAGTTTAATTAATAGTCATTTAACTAACTCAGATAGCTTGACGCTCAATATGTTGCTCACCAAAGCAACAGGTAGTGTTACTCCAGGAACTGTGGTATGATATGATACAGTGTGTACTTTACAGCACTTCATGCATAGGATTGTGAGTTTTTTATCATTTCATTCTACTTTGGAGTCTAACTCCTGGCTCAATCCATTATTCCAGCTTCAATATTACTATCTGTCATGCAAGCTTGTATGTACTGACCAGAACATAAAAAATGGCGCTGCCTTTTTTCTTCCAGGTGAATCTTCCTAGGGCGGTTGTGATAGCCATTTCTCTGGTGACTGGCTTATATGTGCTGGTGAATGTGAGCTACCTGACAGTAATGACGCCTAAAGAGCTTGTGTCCTCCAGCGCAGTAGCAGTAACCTGGGGGTAAGACAGCACCTCATGTTGATATCACAGATTCAGGCAGACAGGTCCAGACTGATAGTTTGACTTGTATTTTCTGTTGTTAAAATTGCTATTTTTTAAAAGCGGAATTTAAAAGACTACTACACCGATTTAGCATTGCACTACTATGACATTGTTGGACTCACAATGGTCAGCTTTTAAGTATGCAAATTGATGCCGATATATTATTTTACACATTCTTCTTTCATGTCCAAACATGGTGCCTACATTACCAACGATGCAACTTGACCAGCAACATTTCAGTTGGAGATTCAGGTGTGATGTGCTAGTAGTGACTAATGTATCCTCGAGCACAGCTGCAGGAGTGGGCTACAAAGGTCTGGTAACCTTGTGTCTTTCTACCTCCACACCCCTAAATTGTTTTCATTTTCAAACTTGCAGCCCGACCGATGCTGGCAGGCAATTTATCAGACTTCACACAGCTCCCTCTGGAGCCACAAAATGCTTCATACAACTTCTTGCAGTAGCACTTTCTGACATCTGTAAACAGACTTAGATGTGTCAAATTGGTGGAACTCCACTTTAATCTGATGAGACATTTTAATTATCTCTGAATTACTATACTTGATGAATGATACACGAACACAGTTAACTAGAAAAGGAAGTCGGAAAGTCTGAGAAGGTTTAGAAATCACTAATAACCTAGTAAACACTTCTCCCTGTAGCAGGTGGCTTTTGAAAGTTGCAGCTCTTGTTATAATTTCATTTCTTTTCCACAGGAATAAGGTGTTAGGAAGCTGGGGCTGGATCATGTCTGTGGCTGCGGCATTGTCTGCTTTTGGTTCACTGAACGGGACATTCTTCAGTGGTGGCCGTGTATGTTTTGTTGCTGCCAGGGAAGGACACATGGTGAGAATCTCACTGCCTTATAAATATACATTAGATTGTTCAATATAAGATGGTTGTCTTGTCACAGAATTTGACCCAGACTTGTGTTTGTTTTGTAGCCAGATATTCTGGCCATGGCTCACATCCACAGACTGACTCCATCTCCAGCCTTGATCTTCACCACTGTTGTGTCTCTGGTGGTGCTTATCCCTGGAGACTTCCAGAGTATTGTCAACTTCTTCAGGTGAAAGCTGGGTCTGCTTTGCATGTAATTAATTGTTGACATTTCGACTTTATTACCTGGATGAAGAATGTTCGAGCTGTTTGTATTTGCCTGACATTCCTCTTGATTGCTGTTGTCAGTTTCACTGCCTGGTTTTTCTATGCCATCACCTTGTCTGGACTTCTCTATCTCAAGATTAAGAAGCCAGAGCTGCCAAGGCCGTACAGGGTCAGTGTTACACACATCTCAAAACAACATCATCAGAAACTAAGATTAGTTGTTTTTTTAACACAGAATGAAAATCAACTCATGCCTGTTTCCTCCTCTTTCCACAGGTTCCCATTATACTCCCCATACTGGTCCTCATTGCAGCAGTATTTCTTGTTCTGGCACCCATCATAGATGATCCTCAGATTGAATACCTCTATGTGACTTTATTTATCCTCAGTGGAGCTATAGTCTACATACCATTCATCCATTACAAGCTCTGCCCAGGACTGTTAACCAAGTTAACAGTGTTCCTGCAGCTATTCTTAGAGGTCGCCCCAGCAGAGAAAAACCTGTGATTTGGGCAGAAAAATCCAGAAAAATTATGTGTTTTTCCAGTTTTATTGCTCGTGCTTTTTAACTACATCAGTTTTTGCATTGATACTTGTAAAACGCTGCAGCTTACATTCACTAGCCCCTTAGGATTACCTCCCATTTCCATATATTACTTTGCACACACAAATTTAATATTCAGGAGGGTGCAGGATATCACAATCTGCCTATAAAAAAGTTCAAAAAGCATTAATATGTTGGGTTATACGTTAGATTTTCTTTGAATTTTAGCAATCTAAAATGTTTTGTCTTTTTGCACAGATGTATTTAGCACTGTTTTTTTTTTGCTGACATTCATAGATTCATAGTCAATTTAGAGAATCTGTACATATTGTATAAGTTGTTATTTAGTAGTGAGGAAATTTCACGAATGGACTTATTGCACAGGTAGCAATTTATCACAGTACCACGCTTGGATTCACTGAGCTCCTGAGAGCGACCCATTCTTTCATGTGTGTAGAAGCAGTCTGCATACCTAGGTGCTTGATTTTATACACCTGTGGCCATGGAAGTGATTGCAACACGTGAATTCAGTGATTCAGAGGGGTGTCCTACATCTTTTGGCAAAATAGTGTATATTCTGGAGAAAGTTCTTGCTTCCGAAAATGGTGTCACCCTGAGAATTAAAGGTCCAGTGTGTATAATTTAGGAGGACCTATTGAGACAAATGCAATATGATATGTTTTCAGTGGTGTATAAAGATCTTACATAATGAACAGTTGTGTTTTTATTACCTTTAGAATAAGCCATTTCTGTCTATACACACAACTGGCCTCTACATGGCCATGTTGCTTCATCATATTTCTACAGTAGATCAAATGGACAAATGCTCTACAGAGCATGTTCCGTCACCATGATGAATTTGCACAGGAAGGCGTGAGTGTTGACAGAGCAGTTGGTTTCAATTCACAAACCTCACCACTGGTTGCCACTAAAACTTGAGACTGAACCTTTAATTGTAATTATTTTGGTGATGAATTTTCCATTCCATTCACCATCTGTTCAAAATTTCAATTTGTCCAATGTTAGGGTTTATGACCAAATACCTGCAAAACTAATTAAATTTCCATCAGCATCAGCTGTACTTTGTCTTTAGTGCTGATTAGCAGTTGTTAGAATGCTAATACAGAAAACTGAGATGGTGAACACTGTTATACCAGCTAACCGTTAGCCAATTAGCATTATCACTGTAAACATGTTCGCATGTTGACTTTAGCATTTAGCTCTATGCACTGCTTTGACTACGTACCATGCTAGTACAGCCTCACAGACTGGCTAGCGTGACTGTACACTTGTTGTTTTCTAATTCTAGCAGTCAGTAAGACATCTCGATGGAGCTGGCCTACCTGGAACAAATAAGCTTTTAGGGTCTTAAATTCAAAATAAACACTCATACAGATTATGTGAATTAAAAAAAAAAAAGTTTATTAAATAATTGTTATCTGCCAAAGGGATAAAACAAGACATGGCCAAATTCATAGTGCAACTTTCACATGACAAAAGATTGTTCAACACAAAACAGGAAAGAGCAGGGAAGGGAGAGGTGTGTATGTGTGTATATACAATGCACCGCATACGCATTTATCTGGTGACACTTTTTGTTTTTTTCAGCATCACTATTCCCTTACCTAACAAATTGCTAAGTAATTTTGCCTCTTTTTTTGTGCTAGCTTGGGTGTCTCCATACCTGCTGATCCAATGAGGAAGAGGAAAGGAAATGTGCTGTTTTGACAAGTAAAATAATGTTGCAACGTGGACACACCTTCTCCTTAATCACATGTTCTCAGTTAACCAACACAGTCCAAAAACAAAAAGGCCTTTTTTGTATAATTTGTGTGTGTGTGTGTGTGTTTTCAAGAGTCCTTTTGCCAAACTCCAGTTGAAAAATCACTGAGATCCAGTTTTCTTTTCTGTGCCGTTAGAAGTGTTTGACGGACTTTCAGATGGGTCTTTGCAGCTCTGCTCCCCTGTCCCACTCCCGCCTCCTTGTGATGACTGGTGGTACAGCATGTGAAGTCGCTTTGCGTTTATGTCTGCATCCTCTGCCCCCTCGCAGCACTTTATCCACGACTGGGGAATAGTCTCGATGCCATAGTGGGCCCCAGCGATAGCCCCAGCCATGCAGGCTATGGTGTCCGTGTCCCCTCCAAGGGCCAGGCTGTATGCTATTGTTCTCTCCAGGCCGCCGTACTTCTCTGGGAGGCAATCCCGGGGCTGCAGGCAGTGGAGGACGCAGAAGATGGCAGTGGGGACTGAGTGGAGTGCCGCAATGCCGTTACCTGGAAGGAAAAACCAGAAATGAGTGATAAGAAAAACAAGTCAGAAAAACCAACTGGAGTGGAATCTGGCAGATTAGAATATGAGCTGCTCTGAAGGCAAAAATGTTAATTAAACTCAGCGGGGTTAAGTGAGGCTACAATGCAGATGACAGTACCGAAGATGTGATACGCCAGACCCAACAATGCAGAAGAGCTGAAGACCACTATCAGTCCAAATAAAAATTAAAGCTAAAGTCTTTAAAAACACACATCGACAACTTTTTTAATAATCCAATATTCGTTTCAGGTTGTCTTCTTTGATAGTAGACTGAATATCTCTGGGGTTTTGGACTGTTGGTTGGACAAAACAATGAATCTGAACAAGTCAACTTGAGCTCTGGGAAACTGTGATAGCCATTTTTCATTATTTCCAAGCATTATATAGACCAAACAATGAATCAATGATAAAAATTGTTGACTATTGGCTTGCAGTCCTAGATAGTAACAATAAAAAATAGAGTATATATAGAAATATTGGTGTTGAAAAATGGCAATGGAGGGACAGAAAATGATGGATGGATGATTAAAAGCCTTGTAAAAAGATAAAGTCAAAGATTAAGAAATACTGACCCAGTTCAGAAATGACCTCCTCTATGCTGACCTTGCTTCTGTCCATCAGATCTCTAACTCTGTGAAGGCGCTCACAGAATGGCTTCTCTGCTTCTTTTAGGCTGGACAGAAACACCATGTTAAAGGAAGACTGACAAAATAACACCCCATGTAAAGCCTGCAAGGCGCATTTCACACCTTTCGTTTTATCTTCATTAACTGTTCTTTGTTTCCGGACAATGAACCCAAAAAAATCAATGACATTTCAGACCACCTCAGACAGACAGGACTAGTGAAGTGTGCTACAGCAGCTGTAGAGGAAGCTTTGTTTGCGCAGTACTCACATTCTGGCATCATTGCGCGCCGCCTCGTTGTCCTCCACTTCCTCCATCTCTGTGATTAGCTTGCCAATGAACTGCTGAGGCAGGTCTAGCGCCCCTTGAAGGGAGAGGTGCACAGCTATCGCTTGCAGCACTGCCCCGTTATAACCCAGAGAGCAGGAGTGGGTCAGCATGGCACCCTGACAAGCAAACTGGAGAGAAAAAAAGAACAAAATCAAAACAACTCTTCAGCAACAAGTCAGTGCACCTTGCAGTGCAATACACTGAATGTGATTGTAAACATGGTTTCAGCCTAATGCTTTACTAAACATTAACATTATTTTGTTCTGTTTTAAGCAGAAGAGATGATGTCATCTGCGAGTATATGTTCTTGTGAAAGTCTGGTGTTTTGAACAGCTAGACTTGTGTAATGTGTTACAGCCTGACGGTTGCCGAGCTTGCCGAGCAGCTAATCGGGCTAAAATTTGTGTGAACTAGGCTTGAGGTTCTACCCACAAGACCATTTACTGCAGAGGTGAAGACTCAAGTCACATAACTTGAACTCAAATCTGACTTCCATCATTTAATTTATTTAAGCCTTTGACTTGAACTTGGCATAAAATGTTACTATCAATTTCAACTTCACTACAGTAAGTAGTAAATGTTTCAGACTTGACCTAGAGTTTCTCATTTAGACTCAAGACTTTACTTGAGACTTGCGTGTCAAATGGCAAGTTGGGACTCTGGCAGAGTTATAAATTAAACTTGCAATAGAATTTCCAATACATTTGTGTCCGACACCTGTGCTTAAATCTGTTTGAACTTCTAACTATGCAGTGTGGAAAACAAATGAAGCCTACTCACGACAATTATAATAATTCATAGTAGTCACAAATAACACATTTCCAGAGGATGTGTAGGTGAAAGAGCAGAAACCAGAACCAGACACGGTACAGGATTACTGAAGTTTTAGATGTGGCAGTTCATAAAAAGTACATAGCTTCAACATAAATGTCACCTAGGATGTGGTTTTAGCCCAGAGGATGCCCACTGCTCACCCTTTTAACATCAGCCAGATCAGGGAAAGCCAATGCGAAGGGGGCCGCCCTCATGGCTCCCCCGTTCCCAAAGGAGCCTCGACCGTTAAACTGGTCCCTGGCTGGCTGGTACACATCACTGAGCTGAGGGGAGGACAGCTTCTTCAACACCTGGATCACTCCAGAACCATAACCACGACCAGGAGATGCACTGTACTCTTTAGCAAACCTAGAGGGGTGAGACAGGGATTTCATTTGTGAGTGTGTGTGTGTGTAAGTTTTACCCTGGATTTATTTCAAAAGATCTTGGAGTTTTTTTATACACCATAATATACATAAACTCTACAGAGATGCTAGTCATGTCAGCGGTGTGCATACCTGCGAGCCATGTCCTGCTCATCAAAGCCAACACGGGTGAGTAGAGAGTGGACCACACAACGTGCCATTGCTGTATCATCACTGTACTCAAGGATACCTAAGACACACAGAAATACAAAAGCAAGAGCATCTTGCTTATCAGAATTATTAGTACCTCAGCTAGAAATTAACTATAAAGTGTTGTATACCATTAACTCCAGCTGTAATCTTTGTAGTCCTGAAGAAATTACTCATTCCTATGTTTTGTGATATGTCAAGTAAAATGTGTTGGCCATGTTTTCTTTAATGTGGTGAGGTGCAGCTTGGATTTCTCATTTTTTAAATGTAATACTTAGTGTTTGTGGACACCACTTTGGGTTCTGGTTACCTATTGCTGATTGCCATTTCCTGTTATTATTACGAAGTTTTGTAATTTTCTTCATAGTGTTGATAACCCCCAGGTAAGCCTTCATTGGCCCAAATTATTGCTCCAGTTTCATACCAGGTATCGGAGTAGTGGCAGGCTAGCATAACATGACCAGTCCTACTGAGTAAGTCAGACTTTTCAAGCTCTTCTGCAGGACAATTACAGTACAGTAGGTTGGGGATTAGTGAAGAGCCATCTCTCATCCACTGCCATCAAAACCACCCTGTAATCTGGTATTTAATTATCTGGTCTGGTATGAAATCGCACCCTTTCAATGGTTTCACTAACCATTTCCTTTGGTCTCGTCGTCCAGGCTGTTCAGATGCTGCAGCACACTCTCCATGGGAACCTCCTCCGCTCCTTCAAACTCTCCGCCGACGCAGTCTCCCAGCACAGCCGCGACCAGCGAACCCCTGAACCGGGACAAAGAAGCCGGGCCCCCCGCTGCCACCGCTCTCGCTGCCGTCATAGCCATTCATCCGCCGGTGACGACACTTCAGCCTTTACTGAGAAAACACTCGGCTGTCCCGTTAACAAGACCGTCAGACTGGCAAGCGACCACAACAACAACCAGCGTCAACTCACTGTTCCTCTCTGCTTCCTGAAAACGTCTCGATGTCTGTTTGACCCCGCTGAAAGGTTCGAGTCGGCGCACATAGAAATGCATTCATATAGACTGGGCTTTCATTAGAAGACAGTCTGCAGTCTGTTGTGGTGTATCTGTTTCTACAGAAGGACATGCGCTACATGCCGAAGTGGACACATTAAATGCGACCCCACATGATGAAAAAAGGCCGCTGTCTGTGCCTAGTTGTTAAAGTTTGAAATACGAACTCAGTAGATTTGTCGTGTACACTCTTTTGTTGTTTTTTTTCTCCATAGACCTCCCTCCTCTCGTGTAAGATTGTATTTTGCGCAGATACCGTCAGTTTTACGGTACAGCCATACATTTGTTAAGCTCGCCCTCTGCTGGACGGGAGCTCTGACCCTACTGGTCTCAGCCCTGATTTTGATTTAATATTAATGGATTAAATAGATAAAGGATGTAGAATAGTGGAACTGAGGGCAAATTACAGGACAATGTCTTCTTTCATTGTCGTCTTGACCTTTTTCTTAATTGCACCTTATGCAATATGTTCTAATAGTCCACAGAACTAAGACCAACTAAGGCTGACTGACAAAGAATAAATGAATGTACATAAGTGCAGGCCTTTTCTAATTCTCTGCAATTAAAATGATGTCCAAAACTATATCTGGTCCACTGCAATCATCTGAACAACCAAATTGCATTTACCTTCAAAATGGAAGTATTAGGTCTGTGTTTTGGCATACAATATATGGGCTATGACACTTTGCAGGTTGTATTTTACAAAACTTTGCATTCAGACTGTCTCTGACATACAGTCAGAGATATACTATGCCTCCCTTGAATGGCCACAGACTGTAATGATGTTTCAGCTGATGATAGCCGCACAAACAAATCACATTTGCAGAAAAACCTGAATAATATTCTATATTGAAAGGCCATTCTTATACTGTTTAGTTTTGTCCTGTCAGTTAAAGTATGGTATTAATTCAAACCAGTTATATTGTGGGAAAAAGAAAATGGAGGATATGCATTTAATTTGCTCTGCGTCAAGCCGTGTAAATCACAGTGCAACCATAAACAACAAGTCACTGGCTGTCATTTATCTTCAGCCACAAAAGCAGTGTTTCACGATCCTGCCGTGCTGGGATTACCGTATTGACCCGAATATAAGGTTAGCACAGTGTATTTCTTTCCGGAAATTCCATTTGAAAAAGCGGGGTATGCCTGTGTCTGTGTACATTTGAGGACTACAAAAACAAATGCCATTACAAATTTACAACAGCAGACTACGCTTGTACAACACAATTATCAACTGGAGCCAGTTAACGTTTTCATCATAACCAACTAACGTTACCTACAGTGTCAGGTGTACGTCAAAAGATGGAGAAAAATCATACACAAAATACGGTAATGCTATATCTTCCCCGCCAAAGTATTTTTTCTTCGTCATCGTGGACGTCTTTAACGTTATATTAAATGGGCGATTTATATCTACAATTGTTTATCTTAAAAGGGAATATGTGGAAACATTAGGGGTTGCCTCTTGCACACAGTTGTTACAACCTAAGTTGCCAAGTGTTAGCCGGTTAGCTTGTTTCTTAAGTCTACAGCATGGTTTACAGCAGCATCTTTTCAGTTGGTAATTAACGTTAGCTGCTTGCATTCATAACCTATAACCCTCAGAGGTGGGTGGGTGTTTGGAACCGCGGCGTCTCCAGCCTAATTAAAACATGGCGGATTCGGAGGAATTTAGACTTAAACGATTGAAGGTAAGAATTAGATACATGCAATATGACTATAGCAACAATCAGACGGCAAGCTAAATTGATTAGCTGATCTATTTTTTTTGAGGGCTAGCTTCCGGTCGAGATGAGCATATTTAGCTAACGTTAGCTAGCTTAGCTTACAGCCCTGTAGCTTGCTGCTATTCATCTCTGATGCATGCCGTTACGCCGACTCCTTTTAACAGCCTGACAATTTGATAAGCAGCAAACGAACACATTCAACACAATACGACGCGGGTCTTATTGTGATCCATAACCGCCTAATTTAATCCACCTCACAGTGTGTGTTGCAGTTGACTGCTGGTCCCACAAAGCCCTTACATACAGAGGGCTGCTGCGAACAATAAAAAGTGGCGATTTGATTGAAGTTAAGTGTCCATGCGAGTCCATTAAATGTTGTGTCAACTCGAAGACTCCAGCAACTAGCGTTACTGCAGTGTCTTAATGATTGGTGTTTGTGTGTCTGTACAAGTTTACAAATATGCCAAAACGCCGAATTGAAATGGAGTTAATGGGACGCCCACTCCAAACAACTGGTCGGACAGCACGAGGCCTGTTACATTGGCTATTCTAATTTATAAGTCGTTGATAACATCAAATCTCGTAATGTTATCTCCTAAAAACTTTGACATGAGGACGTTATATACTGTGAGGATAGGATGTTATTTTATGCGTTTGTGAGGACTGCTGTTCTTCATGTTAACCCAAACACTAAGATGTAAGCTCTTAACAGCAGAACGTGTGACAACACAACGAGCTAAACCTATACGTTATCCTCCATATCTTACCAACTTCAAATACACTGCCTACTTACAGTAGACTTTGGTGATCGTTGTGCTTGGTACTACTTGGTATTAGTGTTATTAGGTCTTTGGGAAAGTTGGCCTTTTAGTTACTTGTATTGAAAATGTGTTTGTTGCTGGAAGCAGACTGTTTACAGTACAGTAGGGCAACATGCTGGGTAGATCCATTTAGAACTGTAATGTCTATAGTGGATGAAGACAGACCTGCAATGTGTGAAGTAGCCATATTTTGTGGCAGGTATTTTGACATAAAAGCAAGAGCACATCTGTGTTTAATGACATTAACTGTGGCTGCATTCCTGTGGACGCAGGTGACCCATCTACAGGGGCCTGGTATAGTTGCATTGGCATGGCTTTTAATGGATAACAGCCATCATTTGTGTTATTAGTTCTGCCTGTGTTTTTCTTGCTATGCCAAGTTAAACAATAAAAAGATAAAGGTATATAAAGGCTATTCAATTTAAGTGATGTTACAAGGTTATATATATGCGGGGGCAGAACTGTAAACTGGATCCTATATGGGATCATTGAAAATCTGAGTGTGAAGACATTTATAGTTAGGGTTAAGTTTCACAGTAATTAAAATTGTGTTCCTCTTGACATTGTGAGATTTTAAGCACTTATTAAGTTTGACAGTAAGGAATAGAGGATTAAATTGGATTGTTCTCTGAATTATCAACATGAATTTGCCCCTTGAAATCCCTTTTCAACAAACCTTTTTCTCCCCCACAGCATGAGGAGCACCTGTCCAGAGTATTTGATGAAGTCATGGGGCTTGGGGACTTTGCTGACTCCTCCAGGGGCTCTGCCATCTCGTCCAAGAGCGGAGGACAGGACGAGACTAAGGAAGTAGATGAAACTTCAGGACAAGGGGAACAGCAACCAGTAGAAGAAGAGGATAGCAACGGCAGCAGACAAGAAGACAAGATGGATGAGGGGATGGGAGAGCCATCATTTCCTCGCATTTCCTCCCCTTCCTCTGACCGAGAAACCTCGTTTACCATGGGAACCAACAAAGGGGGAGGAGGAGGAAGTGGTGGGGCAGCATTTGATGATGCACTGGATGGCTTGCCTTCATTTGGGGCAGAAGAAGATGATGAAGACTGGCACTTTGCTCTGCCGATGGGCACCCTGGAGAATCTTAATGTGGATAAGGCAAACCGAAAAGGAAGCCAACCAGAAGTGGGGAACAGCGTAACTCCAGGTGATCCCTTTGCTTGTCAGCCCAGAGAGGACGAGGACGAGCAAGAGAGAGAAGGGAGCAGTGGGTCTGCTAACACCTCCCACTCCTCCCAGGACCACACACCTGACAACAGCCGAGGTAAAGCTGCATACATATGAGAATTTAGACAAATTTAATGGACAAGATTGATCATCAATGCTGTATTGCAAGTGTACAGTGTATTGTATCACAGCATCTTCATAGGACCCTGACACACCCGGACAATTGGTTTTTGGGCTCATTAAAGGGGCACACTACCAATTTTACACATCAAGTTGTTGTTTTATACAAGCGCAGCTAATGTTAGCTTGGCATTAACCAAATGTTACAAACCAGCTAAATTGAAAGCTGTCTGACTGTAGCATAGACTGCCTTAGATTCACTATTATCTGAACAACACTTATTGTGAGCAAGTCTGACTTGTTCAGCTGGGGATTTGAACCCTGGGACTTCAGATCTCCAGATTAGGTGACTTACTGACTGAGCTACTGGTGAGAGGCTGTTTCTACACACCTTCTCACAAGTTGAGGTAGTGATGTCACATGTGCCAGACCTGGATAGTTTTGTCAGTTTGAACTTAAAATGGTGACAACAGTCAGGATGTTGGTTAGAAAATTCTGAGAAAAATCAAACATCATTCTGCTGGTTTTGGGTGTGTTGTTAATTATTTTGTTATAGTTATAGCAAGAGTGGAAGAATATCCCAGGACTGCTCAGCGAGACTTGTCAAGTTTGGTTACAATATCTTAAGCCTATTTTGATTTATGTAAAATTGTACGTAAATACACAAAAGTAAAAATGTATGGGAAAAAAACAGATTGACATATCAAAATTCTTTTGAGAAAAGTGATTAAAAGTCACATAATTTGACATTTTTAGAGTAGAAGACCATTGGAACAAAGATGCAGATTATTCCAGAGATTAAAATGATGAAAGAAGTTTGACTTTAAATGAAGCTGTTTTTGAGATAATAGCAAAAACGTAAAGTTGATTGTTATAGCGCCACCATGAGGTCTATGAGTGCCTTTTTTTTTTTTTGCCTGAGTAGTGGGTGGAATTTGCAACCTACGTGCCAATTTTGGTGAGTTTAGCAGTTTTTTTCTGTAGAAAAAAGAAAGAAGAAGAATCAGAACAAAAAACAATAGGGCTCCAGCAGCTTCCCTGCTTGGATCCCTAATTAACGATCCCCATCCCTAGTCATCAGGGTTATTTGGGCTTGGGGACTACACGTTTTTCACAGAACGCCTATATACCAAATGGGTATGGGATGTTTCAAAGAAATGGGCATTTACTAAGCAGGGAAGGTCGAACAAATTACACTGTTGAGTTGCATTATGGGAAGTGTTGGGTATTTTGGGGGTTTGACTATACATGACTCTGAAAGTCAAGATATCTCTGCCTCTGATGCTTTGATTTTGACGACTCTTTTTCAAATGTGCCTAGTATTATATATATTTTTT